CAATAAACTCCAAACCTGTTTTTGCACGTGTGTTGATTTATATGCATTAGAAGATCAAATAATTGAAGATTTGGCCTATAATCAAATACTTTTAGAAGTTTTTGTTGATATTTTGTTTTTATATGGGCATGTTTGTAATAAAGTAAAACACCAGGCTGAACAGTCTCTTGTTTTGATGTCTGATAAAGATAAGATAAGATGGAACTTTATTTATCCCCTTGGGGAATTTCAGGCGTTAATATTAGCAACACATGGTAAAAATAAAGATAAAATAGAATACAAATTAAAATAATAATATAGCTAAAATAACTATTGAAACAAGATATCACAGTAAAAAGTTGTGATAGGGAAAATAGTTCCTGTAAGTTAGAAATAAAGGTCTAATTTTTGCTGGGAAAATGCCGCCCACTTGTTTGCGTGCCAAGTGGATAGCAGATTAAATTATTTTGGTCACTCAAAGGTTTTCTTTCCGGTTCGGCCTTTCCTCTTTAATTGTATTCTCAATTATATTTGTCGTAAAAAAAGATAAGTGAAATAAACTCTGCTCCCCACCTTCCAGCTTCTCTGCAGAGTTTGACTTCCGCACCTACGACCCAGAGGGGGTGATCTTCTTCGCCGGGGGTCACCTAAACAGCTCCTGGATCGTGCTTGCAATGCACCATGGGAGGCTGGAGCTGCAGCTGAAGTATGGCACAGTCAGCAGGGTCACCAGCAGCGGGCCCATCGTCAGTGACGGCCAATGGAGAAAGGTTAGACTCTTCATGAACATGCCTCTCTATGCTTCTTCATATGCTTCTACTTTAGCTTCATTAGCTGAACGCTTCTTTAAATGTCTTCTTGTTTTCTCTCCAGATCTCGGTGGAGGAGCAGGTTCGCAGTCTGGTGATTAAGATCGACAGGGAGGCCGTCATGAAGATTGCAGTAAACGGTGATCTGTTTACGCTAAAGAAAGGCATGCATGAACTCAACCTCACCGTGGGAGGAGTCCCGTTCAGAGAGGACGGCCTCGTCAATCAGGTGTTTATCTCTATGTGCTTGTGTTTTTTAACTTCCGCAGAAGGAGTTAGGCAATCTGCTCGGTTTGTCTGTCTGTGTGTCAGCATGATGATGGAAAAACAACTAGCCCAGTTTTCATTAGACTTGATGAAAGAATCCTTAGGCCTGACATTGAGATTGAGTTTTGACTGATATAGTGTTATATACTGACAGATTGTTTTGACTGTGTAGGTAAACCCCCGCCTGGACGGCTGTATGAAGGACTGGAAGTGGTTGACGGGTGAAGATACTTCCATACAAGAAACGGTTCGGTCCAATGACAACATGCAGTGTTTCAGCAGCGAGGTTCCTGGAACGTATTACCCCGGCACCGGCTTCGCTCTCTTCAACATAAGCTATGGTGCAGTGTGTGGATGTGTGGGAGTGTGATGCAGATCTGAGCCTAATGGCAGTTGGTTAATGTTTAATTTGAATTGGGGAGTGTTGGCTCCCGTCATTGTCCTTGAACTGCTGTTCTCCTACTTCCTGTCATCTTCACTACAGAATCCCAGAACCTGAGCGTACAGTTGACCCTGCGTCCAACCTCTGCGATCGGAGTCCTGTTTGCACTCGTTCACCAGGACAGAGTCCCTCTCTCCATCGTGCTGGCCGACTACCATCCCGGCACCGATGAATGGAGAGATGTAAGTGTTTAAATGCTCAACTTGTGTATGTTTGTTGTCTGTGTGTGAGCTATTTACTGACCTGTTGTGTGTTTTCAGTATATGCTGGTGTCACTAGGTGATGTCATCATTGCCAGCTCTCCCGCCCCCCTGTGTGACGGGGACAGTCATGACATCCAGGTGACGCTCTCAGGAAACCAAACCCTGCTGCTGGTCGATGGCAAGGCTGGACGCAGTGAAGACGCTGACATTCCTTTTGACATCCTTTCACAGTCCAGCATCTTTATAGGAGGCCTTCCTGGTGAGGACACGTCCTTCTATAAACACATTTATCAGATTCATGCAGTATGTGGGGATTTATTTGCACAGTATAAAGGAAAAGTATTGTGCAGATGCTACAAACTTAAAGTGGAGGGTTCAAAATTGGCAGAGTGAAATATAAAAATAATAGTCGGGCATTTTCTCTTTTTTCAGTATGTGAGTATATGGTCTTATAACAAGCACATGCACATGGACATCAGTGTTGGCAATGCATTTTACAGTAAATTCTGGTCTAGAACATTGTTGATATGTTGCACATTTAGATTTCTTAATTGCTTAGCCACACAAGCCTTGTTTTATCCAGTTTCCTTGAGCAGATCAGTTGAATGATTTAAAGATTAAAAACTCTTTCACACCGGTTAATAAAAAAACACATAAATCATGACTGGGTGATTATGCATAATTATGGAAATGTATGCGATTTATAAACGGCTCACTTTCTTTTTTTGCACCGTATATGCAAAAAGGGTTGAGTCGACAGAAAAAGAATCCCCTATGGATCCAAATACTTATATAATTGATGAAAGCGCTGCGTGTTGGGGTTGCTGACTCTGATTCAACACACTGACTAATGCACTCAGTTTGCACTCTGGAGAGTTAGATCTCCTACACAGCGCATGTTGTTTCCTGCTGGATGACATGTTGTTGTTGTTTCTCCCTCAGATGTCCCTCTGGTGTCCACGCTGGTGTCAGCGCCCTACAGCGGCTGCATGGAGGTCAGTGTTAACGGACACCCTCTGGACTTGGACCAGGCCCTCCACAAACACAACGACATCCGCTCACACTCCTGCCCCCTGCTGGACTCTCGCCAGTGACCACAGCAACTGATGCATTAGCAGTTCATTGAGGCAATGGGGATTATTCCCAATATATTTATAAAAGCTTTGACCAGTGATGATTTAGATTGGAACACACATAAAAGCTTTGCCAGGCTTCGGGGTTCAGCTAAAGCCTTAGCCCAGGATCACCCTGTCCTGTTACTGTGACGACACTGCTGCCTTCAGGCATCAGTGGGGATTCACAGTATTCTCTAATGACTCCATAAGGAGTTAATAAGCCAATCAGCTATGTCCCCTGTACAATTTCTTGGAATAAATGCTGCACAACATTGCCTCAAATACTGCCCAAGCATCACAGCCTTGTGAGCCCATTAGAACACACAGGGCCTTATCTAGAGCTATGTCCAATGATTGGTCTGGGGTCAGCACACGACGCCTGGGTCCTGTGCTCAATCAGATTTGACGGGACCTCTGTAGGCACAGTGACTCCGCTGACAGAGCTGCGGTCGTGTTGCTTTCTTCCATTCTACACAACGACCACGCTCATGTAGAATCTGATGAAATGAAAAAAATGGGGACCAGATCATAAGAGTTTTATCGGCTTCCCTTATTCAAAGGAAATCATTGAACATTGCTCAGATCTCCATGAGTGTTTGGTTCATCATTATTTTAGGGGTTGATCAGGGACTTAATCAATCTTATTTGTTCCTAACAAGAAGCCCCCTTTGTGTAGAAAACTGTGCACATTGTTGCAGGTAGCAATGGACTGCGTGTGAAGCCCCCCCCCCCCCACTAAAGCAACACTCCATGTCTGCCTGCAACCTTAAAAATCAACCGTGTGCCTACAAAGAACAACCAACCCAAACTTCGCAGCAGCTTCCCTCCAAATAGGTGAATCATATCACACAAGTGCAGTACTGTAACACACACACACAGATAATGCTTTGCATTGCAGTTAACACACTATGCATTTCCACCAGTGCATTCTGCAGTACTTCAGTCTTTTAAAGATTTGACTCAATAATCCTCAATCACATGATGATAGATTAGTCTCAGAAGCACAGACCGGAAGGTGCCCTCTCCATTAGGAGAGAGTGAGCACTGCATCGAACGCACCACAAAGCTACTGAGGGTAAGAAGAGTGCGCTGTAATATACTGAGTATGTAAATAATGTGACTGTACAATGCTTTATAGAAGACAGAAAAACACTACCTTCTGCTCACTGAGGTTTCCTGCACATTTAAGTAGATCCAGTAATCTGAGTCTCTCCACTTCACTTCATCTGCTTCCTAAAAACATTTGGATAACAAAGACACAATTCCTATCATGAAAACTGAAGGGGGAGACTCTGAAAGCGATATCCATGGATCAAAGGGTCGTACATCTTTGGGGACTCCATTTTTAATTTGATTTTACAGGTGCTGAGCAAATGAAAACACAATTAAAAGAGAGAATGTCGGAGCATTGTCATTGAGAATGCCAAAAGGGCTCCAGTGTTATTTTACTTCGCTCTGTATTGTATCATTTTCTAGATTTCTGATGAATGAATGCCAGAATATAGAGCTTGATGAGTTATTGTATTTTTTATCATGTGTTGTATATTGAACTTGTCTTTAGTTTTCATTTTTCACTTTCACTAACTGCCAGTATGTGTACAATGGTGAGAGGAGTCTGCCTTTTGAGTTTTAACCTCCCTCAACAGTGAAAATACTATTTAAACAAAAATAAAAGCAGTTGTATGAACATCAGTAAAATTGTATTTTCAAAAATAAAAAGTGCTCTTTGGTTTTTTGAAGAAAAACAGACAATTGAAACGCATGTTTTATTTAATGCGAACACAGGTTTAAACTTTTTATTTGAGGAAGAATTGTTTTATTCACATATATAGTCTCTTTAAGGTGAAGTAATACAATGAAAACACCTGGTTTTGCTATTAAAAGTTGTAGCCTACTGATGATTCTAAAAATGTGACAGTTAAAATAATTTGTTTGACATTTTGGTAAATACAATTATTCCCTTTCTTGCCCAGAGATTAGAATATAAATAATTGTCCTATTTAACTCTTGGAAAGCAGGCGAATAATCCTATTTCCCAACACTTCCCTTTTATCAGAGATTCCAATTTACTACACATTCATTATGCATCAGTGAATAAATATTTCTTAAAGGTACCTCTTTAATACATTATGTATTTATAGCAGCTACATGATCCCATCCTACAGCAGTTTAACATCATGCATCATCAATAATAAATACATTATACTGACTTTAAAAGTGCACATTACACAATTCACACAAAACATAAATAACAGCAACGTCAGTGTCAACATTTACTCTCCAGTTCAAGAAAGCCTTTTGAATGACTAATACAGTAGTTAAGTGAGACGATACACAATAAGACCTGTAGTCCAATCTACACAAGTTAGCAAGATCAGATCCAAGTGTACGACGATACGATTATTCATATGAAACAGGTTAGCATGGGAGCTCTAGGCTTAAAGAAGTGTGACTTTTTGTTTTTATTTGATTTCACCAACTTCCCCAATAAAAGCACATCACCAATTTACAATAACGTTTTTGTAAAGATGAAGCTAACAAGATAAAAATAAAATTGTTGGTGAGGTTTAAAGGTGTTGTTTGGGGGATTTTCTCCATTATATCCAGACTTAGCCACCGTTAGCAGTTTGACTTTGAAGCTAAAGATTAATTTCACCTATAAAAATGTGTACCAATCTTATTACACTATTCAAGAAAGCAAATTAGTTTCTATCCCAAACAGTTCCCTTAAAACACATGAAATATCTTAATAATGTCTGTATAATCACACTTCATAGCCATCTCCTCAGTGCGAACACAGAAACATGTATCAGTACAGAGTGAAGCCCACTGTTTGCTCTCCAAGGTCATCTATGAAATGTCGTGTGCTACTTTCAGTCCGACAAGGTCTAGATATATTTCCTCCAACAGGCCCCAGGTGTTGGGCTGGGGGCTCAGCAGGCGTAAGGTGGGGGTTTTTCAAAGGGGTTGTAGGCGGAGCCGTAGAGGACCGGAGCGTTGGGGGTCAGCATGTAGCACCCTGGTTCCTGGGTGCCCCCCTGAGGCTGGGGCTGGTTGGGGGTCTGAGAGGGGGGCTGGCTCTGGTTCTCCTCAGACGGGCAGGGGGTGGAGGCATTCCCCCCCTCAGGGACCATCTGAGGAGTGGCAGGGGGCTGATAGCTGCTGTTGTGCTGTGGGAGAGGGGAACACAGGGAGTGGTAGCCTGCATCGCTACAGTGTATGTGGAAGTAGAGCCAAAGATAACCAAATTCATTTTAATGTGAGGTGTGGCTTTTATTCTTTGTGTAGTTTGACACTGACATATAAGTAATCAATACATCTGTGGGACTAATTTCAGACAAAATCACCATGATATAAATAAATGAAATTGTATCTGTGGATTTAAGGTGATTAAATCCACAGCTATATATGTTATTATAGTTTTCTTAAAATAGTTTGCTATCTCTGTTTTACATTTTTGTTTTACTTTTATGTATGTACCACAATACCAAATCAAATTCCTCGTACGTGTCAACCTACCAGGTAATAAACCTGTTTCTAATTGTGAGTCTGATATAATAAAGAAAAGTACTTCTGCCTTTTTTGTCAGAAATGTCATAGGAAAAGCAATAATAACATCAACAATGGCTCAGTTGTATTAACACGTCACAGTGAGACTGAGCCAGCATGCACAGAAAACCTTGAACTGAAGCAGCCTATTTGAATTTAATTTGTATTATACCTTCTGTAAACAAAAAGGACCTACAATGGTTATTTCTGGGCCATTACCTGCATGGGGATTGGATAGTTGGGGTAAGCGGGCAGAGTCTGTCCCGATGGGCAGTAGCCAGCGTAGGTGAGCATGTGCTGCGTGGGGTTGTAAAGGATGTTGGGGGGTGGTGTGGGGCTGGTAGCCGTCTGAGGAGTGGGCTTCTGCTGCAGGAAACAATAAAAAGGATTTGGATGAGAAATTATCAAATGAAGCTCAAAGGAAAACGTGAGTGAGTGTGCACCAGTTTCTCATGAAACGCACACATTATAAAGGAAGTAATGAACTATGATTGCTGCTCAATGTTCTGTATGGACATCTATCCTAACACCAGGACCATTCAATTAAATTAAATAAGATCAGAGATATCCATGTCTCTGAAACATCATAAACTGCATTTACTGATGAAATTGAACCGAGGGAAGCAGTGAAACAAAGAGATATCTGCACACTTGCCACATATACTCATTGTCCTAAGTGTTTTAGTTTTGTAGCTTTTAGGTTTTAAGGTTATTTGTATATTTACATTTGGTATAAATACTTGTCTTTAGCATCCTTTTTTAATCCTAAATTGTTTCTTAAAAATATATTATTTTTTTTTTGTACCTACTTTGCAACTTACTTTTTAGATTGTTTATGTTCACACCACCAGATACCAAAGCAAATCCCTTGTATATGTAAATAAACTTGATTCTGATTCTGACTTAACACATAATATTAGTATTTAAAAAAAGAGCCTTGGTAAAGTAACAAATTAAAAAGTTAAACACAAAAGAAAAAGAAATGAAGATTCCAGGATAAATAATACATGTTGACCTGCTTTTCTCTTGCATTTAGAAGTTCTTTCTGATCATTTTATTTGCCCTTCACTTCAAAGAGTACTATGTTTTGACTCCTTGTCTCTGCTGTAAAGAAGCTCTCTCTCTCCTCTCCTGCTCACCAAGTCCTTGTACGCCCCGAGCACGGCGGCGGTGATGATGCCCAGGAACAGGCAGAAGACGTTGAGCACCACGGCGGTCCAGAGCAAGCGCTGCAGGTGGATCACGTCCCAGCAGCTGTTGACCCCCGTGAACTCGTAGTACTGGTTGTGGAACTCCGTGCTGCAAGAGGCAGAGAGCAGGACTCAGATCTTAACGTGGTAAGGATGTTGTTCTTGTTATAGATCACTAAGCAGGTGTTCTTAATATACAGAGGGGATTGTCACAGGAGAATTTGTTTTGCCCTATGAGAATTCCTCGCAATGTCCATGGCATGTTCCCATTTATTTTAAACTTCCAGAGACTATAAGTGTCTCAGCATTGAAATCTAGGATGTGGTTTTAACTGCTCTCTCTACTGTATGATCACAATATTATTATAACATTACAGTTGGAAGAAATAGTCAAACATGTTCGCTGTGGAGGACACCCTGAATAGTAAGAGTCACACACACACACGCACGCACACACACACACACACACACGCACACACACACACACACACACACACACGCACACACACGCACACACACGCACACACACGCACACACACACACACACGCGGTGTGTCTCACCTGGCACAGTTGTACAGGTAGCAACAGTAGCATGTGTTGCTCCTCAGCTTCAGTTTACACGCTTTGTCAAAGGAAGGACACGTCACCTGCATCGTCAGAGGATTTATGAGTTAATCCTTTTTTAGAAACCTTTTTATTCAATGTATGATAACAATTATTTCCAGAACTTTGAATTGCTTTTTATTTGATACGTCTCATTTCAGTGCAGTGACCTTATGAGACCACTAGATGCCACTAGACACTTGGTGAATGTTTTTGGTGGGCACCAAAAGGCTGCAGAATATAGTCAGCTTAAAATGCATTTCAAGCATCTTTTACACATTATTTTAGAGAGAAGAATATATAAGTAAATAATAAGGAAAACACACAGTAGGTGAGGAGAGGTTAGGTACTCAGATTGTTAATTGTGAGATAATGGTATGTTTTTAAAAACCAGACAATGGCAGGTGATGAACTTAGTGTGTGTGCAGTGTATAAATCACCTCAGTGTAGTAGTTGTCGTAGGTGTAAGCCGCTTCGCTGGCGTAAAAGTCACACATGTCCTCCTGCAAGAGTCTTGTGTCCTGTGTGTGGAAAATACAAAAACATTAGAAGCACATATCATCAGTAGAAACACACTGTGACTTCAATGTTTTTTCTGTACTTTTTTAGAGCACATCTCCCAAGTTTAAAGGCTTCCATGATGCACATTTAGCCAGAACCCTGGTTTGTGTTACTCTGTCCGTCCTCGTGTAGTTTCTGTGTGACTGCAGCAGTGAGAGTTTACAACATGTGTCAGAGCCCTCAGCTGCACCCCCCCACAGACCCTGGCCTACAGCATTAAACCTCACTGGCTTTATATAATTTGAACAGTAATATAATCTTTTTTCATTGTCCAAAGCTTGAAGGTGCGATAAATATGACTTTTACTGTCCCACGAGCACGGAAAAAATATATCTGCAGTGGGTTTGATAGCACTGTTGATCAATATCAGTGACTGTGCCAGCTTTTTGTAATTCTCTGGTCCACAGTCATTAAGATGCTCAATAAAGTGCAGGGTGATGGGACAAACTGAGGGGTTCAGAGAGAAATCTAAGATGGAGCTTTTTGACCTCTGCATTTCCCGCTCATTCCCATAAAATGTCAACATTTCGAACACATTCATTTAGTCTGGGAATTATTTAAGATCTAGTCAGTTTGAAATGGTCTCCTGACTGATGGCATTGGGGAAACAAATGATGTTGAAGTAATAGATAAAATGTTCTGGAGTAATTAAAACTCCCTCATATGAAAAGAAATAACTAAATGCTGGCATTATGTAACACATTTGCAGTGGGACAAATGAGACGATGACAATGAAAGTTGTTTTACTTAAAGTTCCCCAATTATAATGTTTATCAATATAATATAGTTCCCAGATATTTACAAAACATGTATCTGAAGTGTTTGGCTCGAAATACCAAACAGATCATGCATTGTAGCGTCCCATAATCCCCTCTGTTTCAGCCCTGTTTCAAAAGTGCTGATTCTCTGTCTGTTACTTTAGATGAAAATAAGGAGCCCCTCCCCACGCCCCTCTGAGAGATATCTGGTTAAAAGAACACAATGGTGCTCTAGGAGGAGATTCAGGTGATAAGATACCTTGGTTGGTGATTGGCTAATGGTTACACAACCCAAAAAATCGTTATGACATCACAAAGTGGCCAAAGTCTGATCAGCTCATTTTCAGACAGGTTTGTATATAAATGGATCAGGACAAAAAGTGAGAGAATCTTTTTCCTGAAACCTTCAGATTCTCTTTACACAGAGGGGACACATGTTTATGTATAAAAGACATGAAAAGTGGATTTTGCATAATAGGTGACCTTTAATTCAGGAGTGCTGTGGGAAAATGTGGGTAACTTTTGGATACATTTAATCAGCCCTGTTCTGCTGAATGTTTCCGTGGCAACTGTCTGACTAACCCTGAGGTCAGTGTGGTGTCGTGTTGGTAAGATCTCTCTGATGTGTGTGTGCCGGTTTCAGCATGTGTTTCTGCAGGCTTCTCTCTGTTCATCTTGATGTGTGGATTTGGCATATATTTGTTGTATTTCTTTCTTTTCAGTTTAGGCGGGTACATTCCTCTATTACTTACTTACTTATTACTTACTTACAATGAACTCTGACGCGATGATTCCGTCCACAATGGCACAGAAGAAAGAGGCAACAACTCCGATACTGATGAATATGATCGCTGCCACCAGCTATAAGATATGAAGAGGGGAGAATCAGGAGAAGTTATTTGGGAACAAAGATGGAGAGCTCAAATGAGTTTCATCAGAGTCAGTACAGTACATGTTGGTTGTGTTGAATATACAACAATATGGAATTGAAAGAAACATTTACGGATTTCAAAATAAAAGAATGAGCATTCATAATGAGCAAACATTATCAATAGGTACATATGAAAATAAGATGTTGCATGTTGTATAACTTTTTCTCATCATAGTTTATTTTCATTTTCTTGAGTGTTCTTTCCTTATGAAATCTGATTTATTAATACATATAAATGTTATTTTATAAAAGTACACACACACACACACACACACACACACACACACACACACACACACACACACACACACACACACACACACACACACACACACACACACACACACAGACACACATACACACACACACACACACATATTTATGTAAGCTTTCTGCATGTGTGTCCTGATTGGTCGTCTGCAGCGTCTGGGCTTTCGGACGATAAAAGAAATGTACGGCTTCTTGCTCTGCCAAAGTAGAGGTGCTTTGTGGGTAATTTATGAGCACAGGACAGGGAGACGGCCTTTTGTACCAGCAAGGTCAATTTCATTCTCCCAATCTGATACACACACACACACACACACACACACACACACACACACACACACACACACACACACACACACACACACACACACACACACACACACACACACACACACACTTCTGTAAATTAGGCCCAACAATCTGAACAGCCTCAAATCTGTGACACACACCTGTGATTCCATGTAGCTATTACTGTAAGAAAGAGCACTTTTAATTTAGTACACACACGTACACACACACACACACACACACACACACACACACACACACACACACACACACACACACACACCACACACACACACACACACACACACACACACACACACACACAGCTGGCTGATCACAGATGCCTGATCATGAACTTTATCACTGAGCATTGTCTGATGTCTGTTCAATCGCTCCTGCAGGACGAAGCCTGCTGTACTCAGGCAGGAGATTATACACACTAAAGAGAGAGACGAGATACAGCACTTTCTCCCCAAAATGAGATTAGTTTGTTTTATAATGTACAGTATATCTAACAATCCTACAATGATATGTCTGTGGGCATTTCTCGAATTGTGATACCATTTAAAATCTTCAGTTATTCTGAAAGTAATAATAATGAATTTGAACCATTAAACAGCTGATGATCTTCTTTAATATGAAATGATAATTTGTGAGAACCAGATGATTAACCTGAATTCTCCAACATGCTCTTAATCGTCTCAAGTGTAAACGCTCACTGTAGAAGGCGTGGAACGGATTTGGAAAAAGGTAATATTAAAAATGAATTTCCCTGAACAGAGTGAAATAAGAGCTGGGTTGAGGAAATAAGCTTTTCTCAGGGTGGGTTTTATCTGCCTCTAGCCCAGACTCTCCACTTCATTAGCGGTTTAAATGACTCTGCTTTTATGGGCTGCGAGCGGGAGATGAGGCCAGCAGCAGAGACAATAGAGCCTGACAACTGCATTACTTCCCATTACCTTAGCACCAGCTGCCAGCCCATAAAACACCTCGACACACACTCTGCCGTCCAAACCTGAATCTCCCCTGACACAACTGAGGCAGGGAGAAGAATCAGAAGCTGTGAAAGATTAACACTCACAGCCACACTGTAGAGGGTTGTCTCTCTCAGGAGTCTTTAAGTGAGGAAATATTCAGAAGGAAGTGGTCATGTGAAGTACATTTACTCAAGTACTGAAACATTGGCTCAGCTAGGAGGTATCATTTGATCATTTAGTGCTACTGCTACTTTGTGATACTTAGTTATCATTTCTGTGATTTTAGATCAGTAGAATGTTCAATGGTACTTTTACTCGTCATGAATATGTTTTACTTTACAGTGTTGGAACTGAAGTTCATGTAGGAGCAGCAGAAACACGTTTAACCTGATTTTAGCATTGTGCATATTTTGGATTTGCATTCTTTATTGCAACTTCTGCAACTTCCCTCAGGATGAATACAGTGTTATTTTAACACTAATATATGAATACACATTGTCAGTGAATATTGCAACATTGTTAGCAAACAGTTGCTTTTTTACAAATTCCGAAGTAATAAAGCAACATTAGCAATTCATTAGATGTGTGTGTGTCCACCTGATGAACGTCAGTCCAACTATTTTTTTAACTCAGTGTTTTGGTCCTTGTAAACTCCCAATGGAAATGTCTCACTCTTTAGTTACTAAATGTTCCACTACAGTATGTTCACTGTGTCTGTCTGCTGCTTGGTGCAGAGAAGTAATAGTGGATTTCAGAACAGTTTTGTCATTTCTTTATCACCAATGCTGAAAACAAAGCTATAAGAGCCGTGAGAGTGAACCAAAACAGTAACATTGTGGGACAGACAGAGAAATAATGAGCTGAGACCTGTTAATAATCTTCTTAAGGCGAGACACCCCAGGTGAATAGGGTAATTTTTTTAACTTAAAGGTATCAGCTAGAAATTTCTCCAGTTACTTACAATAAGGCAATTGTCTTTTGTATTACAAGTTTTCTGAAATAGCATGTTTAAATATGCAAATTATCCATTATCTCATTAAATATGCACATATTTTAACACATTTCAGGAATCGAAATCTGAACTTTGGATATAGCCAGATTCAAAATTATTGTTTCATTTTGTAGTCATATTAGTATCTAAGGCTTTTACAGAAGGGATATTGGATATCTCTTTTTATCATTCCATAAATCAGAAAATACTGTCAACAGCCCTAAAATATCCATTTTCGCCATGTTTTTAGGTATACAATGTTGTATAATTCAGGCTATGAATGATATATGAACAAACCCTTCTGTAAAAGCCTTCATAATATTGATAGGAATATAACTGGAAGGTTTGGTGTATCTACGTGCAACTGAAGTTGAAATTTCGAACTCAGAGTAGGAGAAAAAACTTATTTTGAGAAAACGACCTTTAAAGATTGCAGTGAGGCGCTAGCTAAACCCTCCTGTTCTCTGGATGACAGCTTGCGCATCGACGCACTCCGTGAAGGTATTTCATGTTCAGGGTCATTTTTTTTTATATAACCTTGCTTCGTGCAAGTGACAATTGTTGTCGTCTGCTCTGTGAACGTTTTTTTCGCCGTTCTTTTGGCATTTTGAGATTTCAATTTCTAGCTGAAAGCTAACCAGGAAGTGTTTTAGCACACCACGTGACGCATCTTGAACGAATCACGTTGTCAGAAATTGACACCAGCCAATGAGATTTCGTTTCTTGGTTTAAGACCCCTTTGTGCTTTCACGATTGGTTGCTGATACAAAGGAAATGACCATATTTGGATCCGATGAGATTGTGCAGGAGAGACACAGCTTTCCAGCGATACCTCTGTTGACATGGTGCACACAGCGGTCGCGGTACTTTATGTTACGTTAGAATGCTAACTTTTGGTGAATTTAGGAGAAATCTACAGACGCAAATAGACAAACTATAGTAAAATAAACACTTAAATGTGTATTTTGTACGTTTTCCTTCCAAAAGCCTGAAAGAAAACATGTTATGGAATCAAAATAGCACAAAATCTCAAAATTGACCAGTACTTGAAAAACGATGTTTTTGCCTGCCGTGTCTCGCCTTAAATGTTAAGATTCAGGTGATTTAATTGAAGCGTTGTTATAAAAATGTCCAGTGTAACCACAGAGGGAAATATCAATAGAAGACAAAGATGTTTTAGTTATAGAGTAGGAGATCCATCAGTGATGAAGAGGCGAGAGGAGTTTTATGGCTTCAGTTAAGATATCTATCAGGTAATGCAACTAAAGTCGCTGACCGCTGCAAGGTCTCCTTCCCTGTTCAGTGGTCCAGTGACCAATCACACCTCAGCTGGACACAACGGTAATAAGAAACTAGTTGGGTAAAATACGGCTCTTCAAAGGTTCACCGTTCTGCTCCCTGAAGGTGACCAAGAGGACGGCAGAACGCGAGCTACATGGAGCATTTGGTCATAAATGCATCTCTGTGTTTTAGGAGCAGCAGAAAGGAGGAGAGTTTACAGACAGGATCTCTAAAATCCTTTTAAACATGTTGGAGGACAACACTAGACAAAATAACACATGTCAGTGGAGCACATGTTTAACCTGCACCACACCTCACCTTCATCAAGAGGACGGGTCTTTTGGGTTATTTGTGATTAGAGCACAATGTCAGAGACAAAGTTTCCCACTAAGCAAAGAATCCCAACTAGACTATGGTTAAATATTAATTTGTGGAACAATACAGGTGATATATGTCTTTATTTTTTATTTTCTCACTGTCTACCATATTTTATTACCCCATGACTACATCTTTAGCTTGGTTTTGACCACAAACCACACATTTGGTCTGTATGCGAATTATTTCATGGTAACTTAAAACCACTAACAAGCATTTATCCTAAAAAAAACCAGATACATTAAAAAAGAAATGGCACAGGCGTTTCGTAGATATTTGACGATAGTACTATTTTGTAGGTTTTTCTTTGTTTTATTATCATTTTAATATATATTTTAATTGTTATTTAGTTTTGCTGTGCACTAGTTTATCCTTTAGACTGTATCAAAGGTGCTTAACAAATACATTTTAAGCTATTGTAGTCCACTTCCACAGAAGGCAGAGATTTAAAGTTGTTCATTCTTGTAATCTCTGGCTGCAGTATTTCAAGTTGTCACTCCTCTGAGTGTTTACAGTTTAAACAACATCAAGCCCTCCATCTGCCGCTTTGTGACATCAGGGGAGAGAAGGCCTTTGAGATGCAGGAAGTAAAAGAAGAGCTCTCAGATGTCGGGGCATTAATGTCGGTGTGGTTGGTTCTTCTTTAATGAGCAGCCTCGCTCTGCCAGCCGGCGCTCGTGTTTCAGCGCTGAGCCTCGGACACAGGATGGGAAGAAGACACCTGTGTGAGAGGGACATTGTGCCACATGCG